CCCCCATGTTGTTTTTATTGCTGTATTCTTGACATATAACTTGAAGTCATGCATTGTGATGCCTTCTGGGTTGTTCTTGTTGCCCAGGGTTGCTTTTGCGGTTTAGCTATTCTGAGTCTCTTCTGGTTCTATCTGAATTTTAGGGTTGTTTTCTCTAGTTCTGTTTCTCTAGAGTAGAATGCTGTAGGTATTTTGATTTAGGTTGTGTTAAATCTATATGATATCAATTTTGGAACAATGGCCATTTTGATATTAGTTCTCAAATTGAGGGATTTTTAATCTGGGATCTCTGCATTGGCCTCTCATAGGCCAGTGAATCTTCTATAGCTAAAACATACTTTCCTGGGTACATGAGCTTATCTGTTGGTTAAGACTTTCCTGGGTTTTTAGTAGAAAGTCAAAGTGGCAAAAAACTTGCCTTATTCCAATCATGGGCAAAGGGATAGCAAATAAACTGCTGTGAAAGTGTGTGGTTGTCACAGTTTATCTATAGATGTCTCCCCCAAGCCTCAAGCACTCATCGGTGGGGCTCTGGGGATGTGGTTGGATCACAGGTGTGAGATAACTGGCTTAGTGCACTGGTTTAGCATAGCTCTGGGTGTGGCTCATGGACCTTGAGAGCTTGTTCTAGCAGGGAGTGCAGCCTAGCAGAGGAAATAGTCACCCTCTATTGCGAATGGTCGTCCTCTTCTACCCAGAGCACGGCTTCGGGAGGGACACACATGGGGCAGTGAAGGGGGAAGGGGATATCCATCCAGCCATCCAGATCAGCTGAATCACCCCTGTTCATCAATGGGGTAATAAATGTCACAGCCAGATCACTCTCACATGCTGGGTGTGGAGAACAGGATGCCCCACCCAGGTGTGGATGGAACCAACCAATAGGTTAGTAACCTGAATGGAAAAACAACGGAAAGGAAAGTTAGCTGCTTCCTGCTTCCTGTGGCCTACACAAAGTCTGTTTCCCCTCTGCCATGCTTCTCTGCCATACCACCATGCCTTGGAGCCAACTGACTATGAACTAAAACTTCTACAAGCTGTGAGCTGAAATAAACCTTTCCTCCTTTGATCTGCAGATGTTCAGTATTTTGTCCCAACAATGAGAGAGTAACTAAGACAGTGGCAGAGTCCTAGTGATTGAGAGTGGCTACTCACATGTGAGTCAGATGGAGAATTATTTATCACAAAGGAGGTTTGACTTTTGGTAGAATGCCCATCCAAGGTAGAAGAGTGGCCTCATCCCAGGAAGAAGAATGGTTTCAAAAGGGGATCAGCAGTCCCAAATTTAGAGGTACAAGCAAAGTTATTTTATTTTCTAAAATATAACTGTATTAGAACACAAATTTCAGTGGTGTGGTAAAAATCTTAAGTATTTCAAGGTTTTTTCTCAAGAACTATGAGAAGATTCTAGAAGGTTGGCTGTTTCTACACGTAGAGAGACCCTGTGGATGTTGATTGCATGTCCTCAATAGAGTCTGTTGAGATGGTCCTTCCCTTTCAACAGATTCATGGCCAAGCCTTGTCTAGGTGACCAGAATGACGGGACTTACGGACCATACCCAGGGTGAGGAGGACTGGGCAGCTGATGCAAAACCATCAAGCTGACAAGGCTGACCTCACAGAGCTTTGGGGAACTGAAGGGTTGGGTGTGATTTATGAATGGCAAGGGAATTTGGGGAGAATGCATAAACCCACCATTGTGGCCAAGACACTGGGGCATGCTTACGAGGGGCAAAGATGACTGATGTATATTTGTCCTCAGATAGAACAGGGTCATCAGTTGAAGCGGAGTTGAACATGCAAAGGAGGGGCATTATAAATGTCCCCTGGAGGGGCTGAGGAGAACAGATGCAAGTGACATAATGCACACACTATCATGAGCCTGTCCAGGCATGAAGAGCTTGGTTGTCCATAAAATACTGAATTTTATTGGTCTTCCAGTGTGATATCTTATTTAAGAAAAAAGCCACATGTCAGACTGTCTCATACTTCTGTTCAGTCCTTTATTTCAAGTATTCAACTGAAATATTTCACCTTGAAATTTTGCAAAATAACCACTGCAGTTTCTGTCTGTGGGAGGAAGCGCTTTGACAGTAACGAGATTGGGGCCCAAGGCCCTACCAGTGGAAGCAAAGTGTAGAGTGAAACCAGCAGCGCATGGAGGCCTGCGATGCTGCGCGCAGCACATCTGGAGCACCTGACTGGGCTTCGCGTCAGTGCTGCCTGCTGCTGCTTCCTGAAATACGCATGTTGCTAGGATACGGAGGGCTGGGGAGATGGCTCGGCGGTCTAAGCGCTTGCATGCCAACTGCAAGGACTCGGTTTTGATCCCCAGTACCGTACTGGGCATCATGTAGGCCACTTAAACCGTGTGTGGTGGCGCACGCCTGTAAATCCAGCGCTGGGGAGGCTCACTACAAGTCCGAGCTGTGTAGTGAGACCCTGTGCCAAATAAATAAATAAATAAATAAATAAATAAATAAATAAATAAATAAAAGATGTTTTAGAAAGGAAACCAGTCAATGACAATGAGGGCTTTACCTAAGCCATTTGCTACTTAAGGAAACTAGGGGATCAAATAACAGGGAGGAGTGACCATATGGGGTGGGGGGAGAGCAAACCAAGGTACCCACTAAGCATTTGGTTCCCAGTCCAGTCGTGGCTCGACTGCAGAAAACACCCACGCAGTGTCCATCATCTCCTGCCTCCCCCCTTCAGTGCTGAGGGGCCGTACCCGCTCCCTCCTCCGATCTAATAATGTGCAATAGTTCCCCGGTATGCATTCTCTTTTTCTTTATTTACTCCTTTTCCCCCGTTCCTTTTCTTCCAAACAAGTAAATTCCTATTGGAGTAATGTTTGTACTTTTATCCTCACTTTGGAGATGGGGAAATGGTGACTGAGAGCTTTGGCAATGCCCTTGTCTAGGAAGGGTAAAAGGCAAATATGTCTGGGATTTATTCTCATCCTCAGCTGCGCAGATTCTCTAATATTCAGAGCAATGTCCTTCGGAAAGTGCCTCTTCTGGAGGCTTCTGGCTCCCTCAGTGCGTTTAGAGCAACATTTCTCTACCTAAAAATGATTTTAAAAATCTCCTTTCAAGTAATTAGCATCCCAAAAGAGATTTCATTTCCATGCAAATAAACAAGGGTTAGAAATCTGGGGTTGGGTGTGTTAGGAGAGATGGACATTCAAGGGGAGGAACGAGGGAACTGTGTGTCACAGTAGTAAATATGAAGTGATTAACTGCAATGTATTCTTCGAAATTAATGTCACCATCCTCACCTGAACAATTTCTGAAGGGACTTTGTTTTTATCCCTACAGCTACGAGGGCTGAGGTTTTCATAAGAACTGGCACTAGCTACAGAACCTAGACTTGATGCTGGGTACTGGGCTCTATTCTAAGTGCTTTCCATGTGTAAATATATTTCCATATATTTAAAAGTTTTTTTTGTTTTATTTTTATTATCTTCACAAATACAAATTTGTTTTTACTGTCTTCCCTTGTAGGGAACTGGTCTGTGTATAGAACACATCTTAATTCCCTTACTATCCCTCATCCTTACTCTGCTCCATCTTTTTATCCCCTTCCCTCTGAGAAAGATTTATCTTCCTATTTCCTATTATCTGTCTTGTATTTTTTTCTTTTATTGATACTTTTGGTTTCTTATATAAGAGAAACTTTATGTGTGACATTTAAACTTGTACATCTTTTTTTTTCTTTTTTCCTTTCTTTCTTTCTTTTTTTTTTTTTTTGGCGGAACTGGGGATTGAACTCAAGCCCTTGCCAGGGAAGCGCTTTTTCCACTGAGCCGTCTCCTCTGTACATCTTGTTTATTTCACCTAACATTGTGATTTCCAGGTGCATTCAGTTTCCTACAAATGATTCAAGTTTCTCTTTCTTTATGGCAGAATAGAATTCCATTTTGTGTAACTACTCCATTCTCTTTATCAATTCGTCTGTTGATGGGCATATAGGCTGCTTCTAAAATTTAACTATTGTACTTTGCTGTGGGCTCCTATGCGATGTCTCTCTATAGTTCTCTAACTCTGCCGGCCCTGCTGGTCCTGCCCAGCGTGGATGCTGTTGTTCATGCTCCAAGAGTTCAAGTTTATTCTCATCATCCGGCAGAGAATGGGAAGCCTAACTACCTGAATTGCTATGTCTCTGGGTTTCATTCACCCCAGAATGATGTAAAATTGTTAAAAAATGGGAAGGAGATGGAGACGGAACTGTGCGATCTTTCTTTTAGCAAAGACTGGACTTTCTATCTCCTGGCGCATGCTGCTTTTACCCCAAATGACGAAGATGAATACGCCTGCAGGGTTACACACATCTCACTCAGTACACCGCAGGTCGTTAAGTGGGATCGAACCAAGTACCTAACACAATCGGAATGAAGATACCCCAATTCGGACAGCACTAATTCCAAATTGTTTCTTTGCTTTTTGCTGTTGATCAGTTCATATACTTTATGCACCCAGTAAGAAAATGATCATGACGTCGATGTAGGCATTATCTTTATAATTCTACTTCCGACGCTGTCTGCATGTTTGTGTTTCCATGAAGTCAAAACTTTAGAGAAGAGAAAAACTGCATACTAATATTTGGATCTTAAGTATCTTCAACAATAAAATCTTTTATTAGAAAAAGAACTATTATGAATTGTGCTGCTATAGATATGGGTATGCAGTGTATCTTTGTAATGACGTCTTTTTTAACCTTTTCCGGAAGATACCTAGCAAGGCAATGGCTGCATCAAATAGAATTTCTATTTCAGGTTTTTGAGGAATCTGATTTGCATATTATACTTGTTTATATTCCCACCAAAAAGGTAGAAAGATTCCTTTTGTTATTATTTGATTTGTTGTTGATGATGATGTTTTATGAGATAAGATGGGGTATCAGTGTTTTAATTAGCATTTGTCTAATAACCGATGATGTTGAGCATTTTTTTTTCTCTGTATTTATTGGGCATTTGGATTTCTTCTGTGAAATTTCTATTCAGTTCACTTGTCCATTATTGATCGGGTCTTTCATTTGGGGGTCTGATATTTTTGAGATTTTATACATTGTAGATATTAAATCTCTGTCTGAAGAACAGCTGGGAATTTTTTGCTGTTCTTTAGGTTTGTTTTTCACCCTTTTGTTTGTTTCTTTTGCTATACAGAAGCATTTGAATTTGATCCGATACCATTTGTTGATTCATGCACGTTCCTGTGCAACAAGAACTCTACCTAGAAAGCCCTTTCCTATGCCTGTGAGTCCAAGAATTGTACGTTGTTTTCGCTTCTAGTAGCTTAAGTGTTTCTGTTCTAATGTTTTGTCTTTTGATCCATTTTATTTTAGTTTAGAACATGGTGAGAAATGAGGGTGGAGAGTCAATCTTTTGCATGTAGATGACTAGTTTTCCCAGCACTGTTTATTAAAGAGCTACCATTTTCTCCTGTGTATGTTTTTAGTTCCTAAGAAAACAAGATAAGCAAGCAAGCAAGCAAGCAAGCAAGCAAGCAAGCAAGCAAACGAACAAGGTAAAAGTATCAAATCACAGTCAAAAGAAGCTCCAATACACTAACAGCAGATTTTTCAGTTGAAATCCTTCAAGCCAGGAGAGAATAGAGTGACATATCAAAGTTCTGAAGAGAAGAACAAAAGCAAAAACAGGAGAAGAATAAGGAGGAGGGGAAGGAGGAGAAAATTAGAAGAAAAACTAGGAGGAGAAAAATGAAGAAGAAGAGGAAGAAATAGAAAGAGAACCACAACAACAACAAGAGGCCTACCAACCAAGAATAATATACCTAAAAAGGGGTCAACCACAAAAAAGAAATAATATTTTTTTAAGCCAAGTAAATTGGAGGAAATTCACATTGCTAGATTGGAATTAAAATAAAAAGTCTTATTTTTTGCAATCATTTATTTTATTTTAAAGAGAATAAAAATTAAAAAAATATTAAAAATGATACAGAATTTCAAAACATGATAGGAAATCAACAGTGTTTTTTATATTGCCTATTGTTATCTTCAAAGTAGTTGTTCAGGTTACTGGACACAGGCAGGCAAAATTGGGCAGAAAATTAAGCATTAACTGTTTCTTTAAGCAAACTAATAGAAACTGGTAAAATTATCACTTTCTTCCCTCTTTCTTCCTGTTTTCTTTTCCTTGGTCCTAATTGCTCCTTCCTTTTGAGCAGTTTCTTTCCTCTTTCGCACAATGCATATTGTACTTTTCAGACTTTATTTACTCTTCTAGTTTTTCATGCTAGGGAAACAATGCGATGTTTCCACATGCAGGTCTGATTTATTTCACTTATGAATATAGCCTCTAGATGCACCCATTTACCTATAAATGCCTTGAGTTTATCTCTTTTATAGCTGAGTAATACTCCGTTGTATAAAAACACCACATCTTTTTTATCTGTTCCTCAGTTGATGGCATGTGGATAAATAGTTTTGGATTGTTTCCAAGATTTGGCTATGACAATTGTGCTGCTATAAACATGGATGCACACATATGACTGTGGTATGATGTTTTCAATTCTTCTGGGAAAAATACCAGGAGAGAAATTGTTGGATCAAATGGGACCTCTAATCCTAGGGGTTTTTCTTTGAAACCACACCTTTCATAATAGCATTAAAAAAAAAGAGAGAAAGAAATTCCTAGGAACCAATCTAACAAAGGAAGTGAAAAATCTATGCAGTGAAAAGTACAGTGCTCTGAAAAGAGAGATCAAAGAGGATTTCAGAAAATAGAAAGATATTCCTTGTTCATGATACAAAAAACTGACACTGTGTAAATGACCAGACTCTCCAAACTGTTATACAGATTCAATGCAATCCTGATCAAAATACCATTAGTATATCTTACAGATTTAGAGAAGATATTCCTAAAATTCATGTGGAGCCAGAAGAGACCTGGAATGGTATAAGCAATCCTGGGCAACAAAGGAAAGGCATCACAATCCCTGACTTGAAGGTTACTGTGGTAAAATAAGCGTGATACTAACAAAAAAGCAGGATCAGTGGAACAGAACAGAAGATGCAGATGCTACCGTAAACATATTCAGCCATCCAACCTTTGACAAAGGGGCTAAACATGTTCCTTGGAAGAAAGATAGCCTTTGTAATAAATGGTGCTGGAAAAATGGGCTTTCCATATGGTAAAGACTAAAACTAGAACCATGTCTATCACAATGTACTAAACTAAAGTCACAATGTATCAAAGATCCAAATATTAAAACACAAACAGTAGATGCACTGGAAGAGAAAGTAGGTAGAAATCTTGAAGGCAGGGGTAGGTAGAGAGTTCATGAACAAAATCAAACTTCATGGGAAATACTTCAAAGATTAAACAACTGGGATCTCATCTTATAGAAAAGTTTTTGCACATCAAAAGAAATCACCAACAGAGTAAAAATAAAACCCAAAAATTGGGAAAGATTTACCCAGATGTCCCTTAGACAAAGGACTTTTATCTGGAAGATATAAAGAATTAAAAAATATCCAGGCCCCCCACATTCAAAGACCCAATACAAAAATGGCATCTGAGATGAATACATACCTCTGAGATGAAGAAATACAAATGGCAAACAAATATATGAAAAATGTTCAACACCATTGCTCATTCAAGAAATGCAAATTAAAACAACATTGAGATTCATTTTCACCCAGAAAGAATAGTTATCATCCAGAAGTCAACCAATAATGAATGCTGACAAGGCTATAGGGAGAAAGAAACCCTTCTCCACTATTTCTACATATACAATAAAATATTTTAGGAAGTCATATATCTAGAAATAAAAGCAAGTTAACTACATCATGAAAACATGTGAAATCATACAATCCAGTAGAAGTACAGATGAAAGAGTGAGAAAAAAGTCAAACCTTATCAATATAGTAAACCACTAAGTCACAAAACTGAACAAGAGAGGAAGAGAGGGGAAAGATATAGAAAATACCATGGAACTCCCCCCTAGTGATAGAAATAATTCTACAAGTCAATAATGACCCTCATTGTAAAAGGATTAAATAACAAAATACTTAAAAGTGGCTGAATGGATTAAGAAATAAGAACCAATAATACACTGCTTATATGAATCTCCCTTCAGGAGTAAAAACATATATAGACTGAAAGCCACTTCACATGTTAGGAAAACAAAAGTACATAGCAGTAGCTGTACATATATTAGAAACATTTGACCTTCAGTGAACATCTATAAGGGACAGAAGAAGATCACTACATGATGATGAACAGGATGTAATTCAACAAGAGACTGTAACAGTTGTAATTACATAAGTGCATAATAATGGAATGAGTATATATTTTTAGGAGACATTCTATATCTCACCATAACAGTCTCAAAAATACAGAAATGATGAGGAGATACAAATCCTAGTCATTTTGATTACTGTATACATGCATTGAATTATCACACTGTACCCCATAAATATGTGTAATTATGATGTGTTCATTGCAAGAAAAATAGAATACAAAAAAGAAACAACTTTGTAATTGTCCATTAAGTGGGCTCCATGGAGGAATATTCTAATTTATTCAACTTCTCCCTCTAAATTACAGAGGATGGTTGAGGGAACTACGATTAGACACCTCTCCTCTCCCTGCATTCTAGGAAAAAATTAGCCAGTGACAGAGGAGTTCATTTCTTCTGAGACAATGGAAGGAACATGGGAGGTACTTTGAGAGAGCCAGTACTTTGATGGTCAATGGCCAAGGGGACACATTTCCATTTCTGAGCCCCAGTGACAGACAGGGTTTGGTATACTTGATGTTACCACCACACTGTCTCGACAGTTGCCCTAAGACCAACCCTTACTGCCTAGCATCTCCCAATAAAGGAAAGACAGAGGCTTTTGGGACTGAATGTCAGTAGCATCTTTTTGTAGCATTAGTTATCTTCTTTAAGGGACATGGGTAGTTTCTTTGCCTATGTGGCTCTTCTTCTTATGATAGAAGCAACATTTTACAACTTTATGAATGTAGCACACTTTGAGCGCAGTACTTCATATATGTAACATGTGGAAGCTACTTCATAGATATAGTTGTTAATCCTAGTCAGATCAATGAATTTTATCTCTTCTCACTCCAATCCATACCTAATGATCTTCATGTGTGGAGGACACTTTGTCATCTCAAATGACACTCTTGTATCCTTAGCAAATCTTGGAAAACACTGTTTCTTGTGTGAACAAAGGCACCTAAAGCCACATCCATCACTGTTCAGATGAGAGTACAAATTCGTACAATGAGGGAAGAGGTATGGTTGTGTGCTTACATAAGTGCTCACACCACAGAAAGGAACACAATCATAGATGCCCAGGTAAGTAGGACTGGACCCAAAATTCATGTGAGAAGTTTATGGAAAGATGCTGTAGAAAGTGAGCATTGGCTCTGTAAGCTTGTTAGGAAGAAACCTGTTTAGTTTGAGAGAGATTTGAAATGTGAGTTACTCAGTGCTGTCCTGATCACTTTCCTGTTGCTGGAACAAAATGATTAAAAGCC